TATATATATATATACAGGTTAATCTTGATAACACGAACTGCTGGGGACTAGAGAATTTCTTTGTGCTAATATTTCATGATAAGGGAAGTTTTAATGCATAGAATAAAGAGGGGGGGTTGGGGATTTGAAATCCTTTTGTGGTAATGGTAATTTCATGTTAAACAACTTTGTGTTTAACAAAGTCTATGATGTATGTGTGTGTGTATCATATTGTATCGTATCATGTCATATCATATTATATCATATCATATATCATATTATGATATTTCACATCATGTCATATTATAAATCATATAATATTCTATGATATAATAATAATATATAATATAATGTATGTTGTTGCTACCCACATTTTTTAGTGAGCAAGAGAAATAGTTTGGGTTTTTTTGCTCACTCCAGGCAGGTGTGAAGAATGGCATGTTCATGGGCCGAGCTCGCCAATTGTGTCCAGATCTTCAGACCATCCAGTATAACTTCGCCGAGTACAATAGAATTTCCCGCATTTTGTACGATGAAGTGGCGAGGTCAGAGTGCATGTCCATGATTCTCAAGCTTTTGTATCAACCCATAAAATCGCATGGTGTATAGTTGCGCCTTTCTTCTTGTTTTGTCACTTTGTGTTCTTGTGGTCACTGTGTTCACTCCTGTGGTTTTATCTCTTCCCTTGTCTTTTATTGCCACTTTTATCTTTAATTGTTTTGGGGTTTTTTAGCTTTTGAATACAAACTATGCCAATGGTAGTTTCTACTTCTTGCCTTTCCCACTGTTGTTTTTGTATGTATATATCTTTCTTTTTTCTATGTGGTAAATGAACATCACTGTGTTGATGTGTTTCTATTTATTCAAACAAACAATTATGTTTGGATTGGAAACAATCTTTATGAGTTTCTTATAGTGCAAAGATACATACCGCCAGCATCACTCCATCAAGGGGCATCTTACAGTGTTGCTCATTTTGATTCATTCTTTCCCTCCTAGTTTTTAATTGAAAATATCATATGTCCAAGATTTGGACTCTCTTGTTATTTTTATTTACTGTGACAAACTTGAAAAAAATGACTTGGCATTTGTAGAACGACACTAATGCCGTATAATATAAATCCACTTATCAGTGGGTGTATCTGTGCATTTGTGTGTAAGCTCAATGTGGTTCAGCTGCTGATAAGTAAGTATGTCATTAATATGCTACTAACTGAATTTGACCAAACCATACTCACTCTTTGTAGTATTTCTTGTACAGTGGCCTACCACTTTGTCTTAAACATCCAGAGTTATTTCACCAGCAAATTTCAAAATTGTAAAAGGGAAATAACATTTTTTTCAACTGGATGAAGGACCTTGGTACTACTTCACCTCTGTGCATTTATTGAATTTCAGAAATTTGAAATATTCCAGAAGTTCTATTTTGGGTACGGCAATTTATGTTTTTTGTCCTGTATTAAAAAGACGGTTTTCCAGTATGTAAGGGAAATTCTTCTAAACCATTGTCATTCCTACATTTCATCCTTTAAAACAGTCGTTGTACATGCATAATTTTCAGGTTAGAACTTTTTGTATCATGTTTTTCAGTTTCACGCACCACATTGAGGCCGTCAGCTGTGATGAGATGTTCATAGACAGCACAGACGTTTTAACCGACACGGGAGCAACCGCTGAGGAGTTTGCTCAACTGCTGCGGTCAGAGGTGATGGAAAAGACTGGATGTCCAGCTTCAGCTGGGATAGGTCAGTTGGTTTGATGAACCTCTATCAAGTGCACTGTAAGAAACTGGTCTATCAGAACATATCTAATACCGCAGGATTTTTTTGTGTCCGATGTGGTCATACTGAAGCTTTTTTTCTGGAAGCTAGGGTCACCTGGGTGGCACATAGTCAATCAGCTGTTCTTACATCCCCAAAAATGCGAGATACTTAAGCTATTCTGAATTTTCACTCTTACAAAACAGCAATCAAGGGTTAACATGGAGGGAAATACAGTATAACACAAACAGGTCGGACACAGACGACTTGAAATCATGCATCCATTGAACTGTGCCAGCGGTGCTGGTTTTTCTTCTTCTTTGTCTTTGTAAGATATCCCTCGAGCTACCGAGGCGGGTCCCCATGAATTCAAGCTACCCGTGTTATACTGTTGTTTGCAAATCGTACTCATACTGGGTTATGGTATGAATAACCCTGATCTGAATCCCCAATGGGTTTGTTTTTTTTAAGTTGTCCACTAAGTTTTCAAGGTTCTCAGCTTTCTTGGTTCAGTCATAGCGGAGACAAGTGTTGAATTCGAAGGTCCTGCCACTTTAATAACTTTAGCTCAATGAAAGAGGCGTTTAACCCGTACAATTACAAGTACACTTTTGAAATGTTTCATAAGCTTTTGCAGTAGTTGATGGAAGATGTATTTATTTATTTATTCTAAAACACCCTCATCGACCCAATTTGGATCATTTAAGAGGCGGGCTTCAACTCTGCCTGTTAGGGCCAATCTAAGCTGAGAGGGATAAAAAGTCCTAGCAGAAAGACCGAGGTACTAGATAAAATTTCTCCTCGCTCAAGAATCAAACTCAGGTCACTTGCATTCAACAACAAAACTCCTAATCACTACACCACCGACACCAATGGAGATTTATGTCTGTATTTGTCTCTTCTCCCTCAGGCCCCAACATTCTTTTAGCCCGACTAGCCACACGCAAAGCTAAACCCTGTGGTCAGTTCCAGGTGAAGTCAGATGAGGCACAGATGTTTCTCCGAGACCAGGCTGTTTCCGACTTGCCAGGTAAGGGATGAGGTTGTTGACAGGCATGTTAAAAGTTTTCCAGTGAGACATTTTTATTTCTAACACACTGAATGAGCAATGAAATTATGACAAACCGTGATTACAGATTTCTGTTTCATATCGTGACAATATTTATTGGAATTTGGCTGCCTGGAAACAAAGGGTCTTAGTAGAAAAAATGGTCTCAAGCATAAAAATTCAGTTGCACAGCAGGTTGAAGAACCAGCAGTGGACAATCCCTGAAATCTAGCAGGGGAATGCAAAGAAGAAGACATCTAGTACTTGTGGAAGATGGATGAGTACTACTTTATGCAACTTGCGAAGTACTCTTTGAGCTTATTGGCTTAAATACAGAAAAAGGTTTTCATTCAAGGTAGTACTGACTTTCTCCTTTTTGAGTTATGAATGACTTTCTTGATGAATTTCTACTCAAAACAAATATTCATATTTTATTAATCTTATTCTATATCTACTTTACGGTAAAGGGTTAGTAGATGATCCAGTGTCTTATTCGTTATATGAGATTTGGTGAATAGTCCAAATTTGAATGTGTGTAAAATGTAAATGTTGTGCATATTTTCACCTCAGCTTTAATATTCCCTTCAGAACTTTCAACTGACCACTACTCAACTGTCTTGTATTGGGAGAATTATAGGCACTCTTGTGTGGTCTGCTTCCTTTGCTTCTTTTGAATGTAACTTATATCCCGATCTGTTGCTGGCTGAATGTTGTGATTATTAAGTTAACTCACAGTTATGCAGACTCCAGTTAACCATGTCTTGTCTTAGGTGTGGGCTATTCCATGACGAGGAAACTTGCAAGGCTCAAAGTCTTCACATGTGGTGACCTACAGTCCATACCAGTCCCTGTCCTGAGGCAGGACTTCGGTCCTCGGACAGGCGAAATGCTGCATCGCTACAGCTGTGGTGAAGACGACCGTCAAGTCAAAGGAGACAAGGAGAGAAAGTCTGTTTCAGCAGAAGTGAACTATGGCATTCGCTTCACTCAGGTAAGTCTTACTGTAGAAGTTGGGACGCTCTTGGTCTACAGGTACAGTGTTTGTCTCCCTTTCAAAAGGTCCCAGGGTCGAAACCTGACATCGGCTAAAAAATCCTTCTTCTCTAATCTAAAATGTTCTCCTATCGTCTCCTTTCCTGTTCTGTAGTACTGTTTTGTCATCTGCTTTCATCTCCCCTCTCTACAAAGGATGTGACCGTGCTGCACTTGGAGTTGACTGGGAGTATTCTTATTAAATGCTAAAGCTGTCCAGATAATTTTGTAACATTGTCACCTTTTGATTTTTTTTTTTGTTGGTTTTATTTTTTTTTTCGGGGTGTTTTTGTTTTTTAGTTGCGAACCTATTAGTAAATCTCTGAACCCAACTCTAATTTGGGTCTTTCTTTGATTTTTTTTCTGTTCTCTACATTACTTAGGAATCTGACGCTGTGAAGTTCCTTCGTGAACTTTCTTTGGAGGTGAAGAAGCGGATGGATGCCATTGGGGTCAAAGGTCGATCCATTACTCTGAAGTTGATGGTGCGGCGGCCTGATGCTCCGCCAGAGACTGCAAAGTTCATGGGTATGTCTGAGATGTTGCTGTTGCTAATCCATTAAAGTTTAAGTTCTCTAAAATGTCCCTTTCTTGCTGTATACAATGTTTTGCGCTCAAATAAATTTGATGTTTACCTATACCCTAAATCAGTGTCCTTTTTTTAAGTGTCAAAGTTACCATTTTCAGTTCTCTTAACACGTTTGTATTTAATATTTATTCACAATGCATGACTTGAATTTGGTTCCCTCATGGGAAAGGTATTCTTTTGATCTCCTCTAGCTTACTGCGGGGACATAGATGCCATGCATCCCTATTTGACCCTGGCGGGCATGATTAAAGGAGCCGTTCTTCTTTACGTTCCATATATTGATGTGATGGGGCTGTAAAACATCCTGAACTAAAACTGGTTGAATGAATGAAGTAATTGAGTTAGTCCAAGGTTTCCGTACTTTATTTTTATCTTCCTCTTGTATCATTAGATGTCAAGGGGAAGTGCAATTTTAGACCAAGTGCTAGGTGAGTGGCTTACGTTGTAAATATGTTATTCTGTTAGACGACATCTTTGATTTTGGGTCATCCTCTTATGTGTTTTTGTGGTATACCCCTGCCTTTACAGCCTGATTCTCTTACAATGTATGCTCATGCCGCTAGTTGATTTATTGGGGGATGGGGGGGAGGCATTCTTATCAGATGACCAAACCAATTATTTCAAGATTTCCACCCTATTCTAAATAAGCCTCTGTTTTCTATTTCAGGACATGGCATCTGTAACACTATGAACAAATCCAGCAACCTCCCAGTGGCGACTAACGATGGTGACCTCATCACCCGAGAGGTTGTGGCCATGTACAGGCATCAGAGACAAGCGGCAGCCGATATACGAGGGGTGCGTTTTTTTCTAATTCTTATACTAGTTTTTTTTTGTTGAGGAAAGAGAAGCTTAGGAACTCAGTAATGGTCATTTAGTGTCTTTGGTAAAAAAAAACAAGTTAGGCAGACAGACATAACTGATGGTAGTAAATAACTAAGACTTACAAATGGCTCTCTCTAACCACCCAGCTTACAATATTCACCCCACTTTCAAAAAGTGCTGTTTGTATCTAGAAGGGAGTTCAAAAACTTTATTGATTTGAAATTGTCAGAGCCGTATTTATTTGTATAATTTTATATGAAGGTCAGAGGCAATTGATATATATATTGCTCGATTGCTTGATAATTGCTCAGAAATTAGTAGGCCTATGTAATCTTTTTTTGTGTCACCAGATTGGCATACAGGTGCACAAGCTGGAGCACCCAATGAGCTCAGCACAGGCCAGGGTGAATCGGGCAAAATCTGGACTCGGGAGTATTCTTCAGTTTGCAGTGGCTAAGCAAAAGACTGACCAAGCTGAAAATTCTGCAGCCAACCTGAAAGAGGATGCGTCTGCTACTGCTAGTGACAAGGGGTCTTTGATAGCTTTTTCAGTTAGTTCCGATTCTCCTAGGTTCACCACCATTAGAAGTTCTGTCGCCAAAATGGGTAGAGCAACAGCGACAAAAACTGATGGTCAGCGTAAAGATCAAACAAACATGGCTTCTTATGCCAAACCAGGAAGCAGCAAGACCCTCAACTCTGCTGGACAAAGAGGGAAAAACAACCTTGACCTGTTTCTGGCTGGAAGTAGCAAAGACGATTCTCTGTCAAGACCTGGGACTAGCAAGGCTGATGACACAGGTCAGAGATCTTGGAACGGTGATGGGAGAGGTTCTCCTCTGTCGGCTGCAGCAGGGACAACAGCCGGACAAGATGTCTACCAGCTGTCTCTGTCTCAGGTACTGTTGTCTTTCTTGTCTACAAGTCGCTGCCTCAGAATTGTAAAATACTATCTGACATTTTGAGTTACTAAGGCCATGACGTCAGAAACCAAATGTTCTATCTACTCTATTAAAATTGTAAGATTATTTATAGTTGTTGTCAAGATTTATTCATAGATTTGCATTCGAAAAAGCTTGACATGATGTGAAACTCAAAATCTTTTTTGTCCGATTTCTCAAAACTAGGTACTGAGCTGATGGAACTTTGTAATTCTGAGGTAGCAAAGTGTTATGAAGGAAGAGGAATGGGCTGTACCTGAAAGCTTGGCTTTATTAAACAAAACAAATAACGTACCGAGTGGTAGACAGAGATTGACAATAATACACAGCTGAACGGACGCTAGACACAGCGCAGCTACATGACACACTGAGCGACACTCGCAAACGCCGTGACAGACGAAACAAGTGAACAGAGATGTAATAAGAGAACTATCATCACGGCAAATCACTACAATAACATGTCACGGGCATCGTAGACCTATGAACATTAAATGTAACAAGATACTATCGTAGAATTACAAATTTCTATCTGCTCAGTATATAGTTTTGAGAAATTTGACTTTAAAAACTTATTACAAATTTCTATCTGCTCAGTATATAGTTTTGAGAAATTTGACTTTAAAGACTTTTTGTTGCACAACATGTCAAAGTTTATCGCATGTGATTCTTTGAATATCTTGATAACACCTCCAAATAATCTTACTATTTTGATAGAGCCGATAGAATACTGGTATTTATTTTCTAACCTCATGGGCTTAGTAACTCAAAATGGCCAAAAATGTCACATAGAACTTTGGTAATTCTAAGGTAGTGAAGAGTCCTCTGATGACAGCTGTTTGCTTTGAATGAATTTACTTTCTCTTCTCTCCTGCTCCTTTTTCCTATCTCTATGTTTGATTTTGGAATAAAATTACAGGACAGCAATTTCTTCTAGCTCCATGATTTGAGCATAATACCATCAATAGAGACCGTTTCGTCATCCTTTCAGATTGACACGGAGGTTTTAGACGAGCTCCCACCGGACATCGCACAAGAGATACTAGGTAACCTTGAGGCGCAACGTCAGCGTCGACTCACAGCAAGACCCGAGAGGCCAGCCTCACCAAAGACTTCTACTGGTGTCTTGCCCACGAGGGAGAATACAGCTCATGCTGGTGCGAGTAAATTCCCTTCAAGTCATTCTGATAGCGAGAGAAAGAGAGACTGTGGACTTTGGATGTACATGTCCAGACATCTGTCTTTTTGTTTGTGTGTGTGTGTGTTTGTGTGAGTGTGTGTTCTTGCGCACGTGTGTGTGTGTTACTGTTTGTGTGTGTATTTAGTCATGCTGGTACAAGTAAACTCCCTTCAAGTCATACTGATAGCGAGAAAAAGAGAGACTGTGAACTTTGGATGTATATGTGTCTAGACATTTGTCATCATGTTTGTGTGTGTGTGTGTGCACGAGTGTGTGTGTGTGTGTGTGTGTTACTCTTGGTCTGTTTATTTTGTTGTGCTGGTACAAGTAAACTCCCTTCAAGTCATGCTTATAGCGAGAGAAAGAGAAACTGTGGACCTTGGATGTGTATCGCCTCTAGAAGTTTGTGCTTTTTTGTGTGTGTGTTTGGTCCTTCTTATGTGTTTGTAGAATGAAAAGAAATTAAATGAGTTAGTTCTTGAAAAAGCCCACTTAGGCAAATGCTGTTTATGGACACTTGAATAGACATAAAGGCCTTAAACATCTAGCTGTCACTCACAAAATTGAGGGCGAACGCAGCAGGGGTAGACTCAGAGAAACCTACTTTGAAAACCTAAACAGATGGGTGATTGGGAAAAATTAGAGTAATGTAGCTTTTTTAGGAGCATCCAAGCAAAGGAATGAATGGAGAACCAAGATCACTGATGTCTGTCGCAGATCTGGCACTTGATGATAATGATTACGATTTGCTTGCTTCTACATGTTGCCTCTCCACTGGTGAGAGAAAGAGAGACTTGATGTGTGTCTTGACATTTGCATTGGTGTGTTTGTGTGATGTATTATTCCTATGTATTACAGTTTTGCATCATAGATGTAATTGTGTGTGTGTGTATGTGTGTGTTTGTGCATATTAATTTTATGTAATGCATTGATGTTAAGCTATGTATTAAGGTTTTGTGCTGTAGATGTACGTGTCTGTCGGTGTATATTAATGTGTGCGTGCTTGTACAAGTATGTCTGTGTGATTCATCTTATAAAATCTTATTTTTGTTATTTCAACTTATTCCAGTGCGTTCTGGATCAGAAGATGTTTCGGCTCTCCCTTCTTTCTCCCAACTGGACATGGACTGCTTCGAAGCTCTTCCAGCTCAGCTGCAGGAAGAAATAAAAAACGAGTACTCACGACAGCAGGCAAGGACAGAGACTGGTCACAGTTCCACCGCTGGACACAAACATCCAATACAGGTCTTTTTTTTTTTTTTTTTGCCTGGAGCATTTTTTTAAAATTTATTCCATTTGACTGCTACTCTTTTGGAGTGCTACTTAATTGTTCAAAATTTTAAAAATGGTTGCCTCTAATGCAAGTACTTTTTCATATAGATCATGTGTTTTTACAATGCTAATGACTTTTTTTAGACTTTTATTTGGCGCCTTACTCAGCAGACTGTTTCTTTTACAAAATAAAATTTTTGTTTTTACCGATTGTGGCATTCACTATCTTTAGCTACACACTCTTTTTAAATTCTTAACTGTGGTTCTAACATGCACTTATAGCAAATGCATTTTTTTGTTTTGTCACCAAGTTGAACAAGAGCACAAGAGCACATATTTATACAATTCATTTTTTCAAATTAATGATACTTACTAGCACTTTCGTGAAAAATAGTTTCATTTTTGACCGATTTTAGTAAAGTATTGTTGCTCATAAGACCAGAGTATAGTTTTGGCTTTTAACCTGATAGCTTTCATTCCTACGTCAAAATTGACTTCCATCTCCCTTTGTACTGCCACTTTAGACGCTCCTTGACCTAATACTGTCAAAAGTGCTGTCACACCTGTTCTATGTACCATACAGGGAAGATCCCATCAGCAGAAGTCGCCCATCAAGGCATCGAATACATTCAAAGTTCCAACATACACCAAGAGACGTGGCCGACCGCCGGGGAAGAGCAAGCTCAAGTTTGTGGACAGCAGACGAACTAAAGCACCTGTCCCTGTGCAGACACCAGTAAGTGCAAGAGAAAATAATATGTATATGTATAACATGTATATTATGTTGATAATGTCATGCTTTAGTGTGTAACAAGTTTCTTGAATATTTTTCAACTGGCAAAAAAAAAACCCATTCTGATTTGAATGATGAGGGAGCCCCGGGTACTTCTGCACTATTTGCAGTGCATGTTAAGCCCTGTTTGGCCGCCTGTTACATATGTCACCTAACCAGCCATCCCAAGAGCCCATAACACCAAGTACCCATGCTATAAAGGAAGAAGTAGACTGCGCAAAAGATAGATTGAGGAAGTCAAGGCATCCCTGAGAAGTTATAATATCCCAATTGAAAGAGCTGCAGAGCTGGCCTGCCATAGAAAACTGCATCTCCCCTCGACACCTAATGGCAACAGAGGATGTAAAAGTAAGTTGACCCCTGATTTTTATTGAGGGCCAACAGGTCGACCTTGGCAGTAGTTAAAACATTTTTTTTTAAAGAGTTGAGCTATTTCTTTCAGCTACTTGGTTTGGGTAGAAGGTTACAATCCTGGAAAGTAAAAATGGCAGAGTTTGTGTGATATGCAGCACATAATGTAGTATTGCTCAACACAAACCGCTGTAATTTAATCCCCTCATAGTTTTTGTGCCGTTTGTAGTGAAAATATTCATTGTTTGATTCCTGACTCATTTCAATTTCAGGTGATGAGGCAGAGCAATGGAAGTGGCACCACTGGTAAAGATGATGATGACGTCATTCTGGTCTCCTCCGACGGCCACAAAGGTCACAGTGAGACAAATTGTGGCGACCTCAATGTAGGTGGACACTCCTTGCGTTCTTCAGATGATGGACATGCTACTACATGTGGACCAAGTACCTCAACTCATGGTGTGTGTATAGAAATGTTTTATGAGGATTTTTTTTCTTTGAAAGTACCATGTAAACCGATACAAATACTATTTTACAATGTCTTAACAATACTTCACACTTTTTTCACATCTGCAGGCAGCTTGTTGTTTTCATTGGTAGATTCTACTTCTTTCCAGTGTATCTGATGGTTCCATTTGTCTGATCATGCAAATTGAGCTCTTTTAACGCAGCGGTGTCAAACTCAGTGGCTCAGAGAGGCCAAACTCTTAATCATTCTTAAGGTTGTGGGCGGAACTGGATAAACACTCATTGAGCAGTGGAAAACTAAATTGTTTCAAACAATGAAATATATTAAAAACCGACAAAAGATAAAATTATAAGAAATCAAGGCTTACCAATTTTTTTCGTGAGAGCTGGATGTTTGGCATCTTTTCTTTGCAACATGTGTGGTGCATGGTTCTGTGTAATGAAGATTCTTAGGATGGACTCCCTAAGATAATCCCCCAGGCCGAATATGATTGTTCGCTTGGCCAGATGTAGCTTGTGGACTTTGAGTTTGACACATGTGATTTAACCAGTAGCCATCTATTCTGAGCCAATACATCAGGCCTTTGATACACCTTTCTTATAATTTTATGTGATTGTATATTATTATATTTATATTATATATATCTTATATTGTGTCTTATTTCTGGTTTTATCTCCTGCCTGTTTCACTGTTTCATTTTTTACTCTGTTCTCTTCTTGTCTCCATTGTACTTCTAATGACACAAGATGAGAGAGGCAGTGATATAAAAGAGATGCCAGTGACTTTATGTGGTGCTCAAGGACTTGTGGACGTGCGGAATTTGTTGAAGGAGTGGATGGACTCTGTGCCAGGTAGCTGCTCACATGCAGTCTGTAATCTGATATTAATTCTCTTTTCTTTTTTTTTTTCTGTGTTTGGCCATCCATTCTGTGCCAATACATCATCAGGCCTCTGATACACCTTTTTTTTATATGAGCAGGCCTATATTGTGTTTTATTTCTGATTTTATTGCTTGCCTGTTCCATTTTTTCTCTTTGTTCAGACATCCTTTGTTTAGATTAAAGCTTTTGACCTTGCCTTGCCCGATATGATATGTATGTGGTCCTTGATAGAATTAAACAACAGGTCTTGTACTGAAAGGTTAATTCTATTATTTATAATAGAAAAGGATAGCATGGTATTAACTCCCCTCTAGTGTACTGACTTTTTTAAAATCTAAAACTGGATATTTACTTTCTTCGAAATTTTTATTAGTGAATTTTGTATACAAGAGTTGGTTTGTTGGTTTTTTTTGCCCATTTAATTACCTTTTTGATGAAAATGCAAAAATTTTGTTTATTTCCTCCTCCGAAACAGTACCCCAAGAAGATGACTTGGACCTGGTGAAGGAATACCTGGCTACTCTTGTAGTACAGCACAACCTGGAGCAAGTGTTTTATCTGCTCAAGTTTCTGTCCAGGTGAGTTCAACACTGGCATCAACATTCTAGCCATCCCTTAAACAATATCATCTTTGTCTTCATTGTAATTCCAGGTTGTTGAAGAGTGATGTGGTAACAAAGGCCAAATGAGGTGTTGGTGCAATCAAGACCATGGCGGCAGCTCTGATTCCGCAAAGAGTGCTCTTCCTGATGTTGCAGCTTGTCGTCCTGTCTGTCGTTGATTACGGATTGGGCTGTCTCACGCTGTCCGACACACAGATCGCAAAACTGGATCGAGTGCAGAATGAGGCAATGAGAGCAGTGCTGGGCTGCACCAAGGACACTCCAATATTGTGCATGCGCTACTTGCTAGGTTTAAGTGGCATCAGAGTACGCCATAGGATAGCTCAGGCAAAGATGTATCTCAGTGTAATGGGCAAGAAGGATCATCCACTTCACAAAGCACTTCATGACAACAGGAGAGTCAGAATCAAGAGAGGAAAATCTTGGATGGCGGAAGCAGAGGATTCCCTGAGAACAATCTGTGTACCTGAGAGCCTACCACTAGGCGAAGAATGGGAACAGGTGGCCAGAGAATACAGGGACCTCACCAAGGTCAAAATAAGCATGGGCAGAGACAGAAGAAATGTTGCGGCTGCCATCAATGAGAGCGATATCAACGAGATTGTTGACACAAACTCAAAAGCAGGGGATCCTATAATTTATACAGATGGTTCAGTGAAAAGAGATAGCCAGAGAAGTGGATGGGGATTTGTTGCATTCGCCAACAATAAAATCATACACAGTGCATCTGGAGCCTGCAGCAGGACTACATCAAGTATGCTTATGGAAATTGAAGCCATCACGAAAGCACTTGATTGGATGACCCAAGATCGCCCCCACACAACCCATGCTGTTCTTATCACTGATTCCATGTGTACCCTCAGAAGGATCGAAAAAGGTTTCCTGAGAACAGAATGGATTCAAGCTATTGAACCAACGCCTATACGATCGCTCACATGGATTTTCTGCCCTGGCCATGCAGGTGTTAGAGGAAATGAAAGGGCCGATAGATTGGCTGGTGAGGCCACCTTAGTTGACAATACGGTTCAACCAGATACGGTCGAGATCCTGAAATGTCTCTCTCGCCAGCTGATTGAGGAGGAGGATAGGGAGGCAGAGGCCGGTACTGCCATGGAGAGGATGATGCTTTTGGGAATAAAAAAAGGAAGCGGAAAATCTGGCATCCTTGTAGGAAAGAACAGAAGAACGTTCAACCAGATGTGCACTGGCACAATCAGTAGAAGGACCCTCTGCAACATTTTGGAGAGAGCAACGGAGCATCAATAGACATGTCCAGAGTGCAGGGATGTTGCTTCCTGAAACAAGAACAAGAACAAGAACAAGAAGAGTGAAAGTTATAGGCTGGATATTGTCTTGTGGTTAGGCTACCAGAATCAGAATTGTGAGGTTGCCAGTTTGAGGGTTCCAGGCTCAACTTTGTCCAATGTTTTGCTCTTGGGAAAGGCACTTTTGACGAATTTTCCTGTTTGGCTTGATCATAGCTGACCTGGAAGTTAAATTTGGAGGTTCTGCCTCTTAAATAACCTAAGTGTTGCAACGAGCATTTATTAAACTATACAAATTCACACATTTTTTTTTAAGCTGGAACTAATTCGAGAAGGTTTGTAAAGTTGTCATAAGCTTTGCATTTAGTCTATTAGAATATTAGATTTTATCTGGGCTAAACTCTCTTGAAAACACCAGGATCATTTTTGCTCAATTCATCATCGTATTCATCATCATCATCATAGGTGTGTTTTTTTTATTCACACCTTCCAGCTGAGAGAGTCTTTTTTGGGTCTTGTATACTCTTTTTTTATATGCTAAGGTGGATGCCCTTTTTCAACACTGTAAGGTTATTTACCTGGAGGGACTTTGAAATTCTTTGTCCATTTCCATTAGGACCAAGCCAATTGTATGGAAGACTAAGATCACTCTCCAGAAATCCAAAGTTCAAGAACATGGGTGGTTGGCGGGTGCTCTGGTGTGGTTTGCTTCTTCTTCCCTATGAAACATCTATCGTCTTTATCTCCCCTTCTTCTTTTTTATGTTTGTTACTCTCTTGTGACACCTCTGATCTTCTGGCGCTCATTTGACCTTATGCAGTTGCGAGCGCCATAAAAACCTCTACTAAAACTAAAAACTAAAAGTTCAAGAACGCCCCATTTTGAATACATATCTAGGTCATCCACATCATAGCCCAACATGACACCAATTGAGCCATCAGTGGACTGGTGACTTCTGCTAATTATTTAAATTTTCTCACACATTCAGGTGTTGCTGTACTCTCTTCCAAGTGTTTTTAATTATTATTTTCCTTTGTGTGGTCACTCTTTGTTCAACTTTCCTAAGTGGATCAGTTGTTCACAGACTTGACCAGCTCATGATGAATCTCTGAGATTCAAATCCAAGTAGATTTCAAATTATTCATGCTTTTCCTGTTCGGCATCCTGCCAGAATGTAGTGGACCAAGCACTTTGCCTCAATATTAACCTCCTCCTCTTTTTCTTTTTCTTCTTCTTCTTCTTCTTCTTCTTCTTCTTCTTCTTCCTCTTCTTCTTCTTTTTCTTCTTCTTCTTCTTCTT